CCTGATACAGGGAGGGTGACATGTCAGTATGAAGCATCTGTTGGCCTGATCCAGGGAGGGTCACATGTCAGTATGAAGTATCTTTTGGCCTGATCCAGGGAGGGTCACATGTCAGTATGAGGTATCTTTTGGCCTGATCCAGGGAGGGTGAAGCATCTGTTGGCCTGATCCTGGGGGGGGGTGACATGTCAGTATGAAGTATCTGTTGGCCTGATCCAGGGAGGCTGACAGTATGTCAGTATGAAGTATCTGTTGGCCTGATCCAGGGAGGGTCACATGTCAGTATGAAGCATCTGTTGGCCTGATCAAGGGAGGGTGACATGTCAGTATGAAGCATCTGTTGGCCTGATCGAGGGAGGGTGAAGGATCTGTTGGCCTGATCCAGGTAGGGTGACATGTCAGTATGAAGCATCTGTTGGCCTGATCGAGGGAGGGTGACATGTCAGTATGAAGTATCTGTTGGCCTGATCCAGGGAGGGTCACATGTCAGTATGTAGCATCTGTTGGCTTGATCCAGGGAGGGTGACAGTATGTCAGTATGTAGCATCTGTAGGTCAGAACTAGGGAGGTCGACAGTACCTCAGTATGAAGTATCTGTTGGCCTGATCCAGGGAGGGTGACATGTCAGTATGAAGTAATTGTTGGCCTGATACAGGGAGGGTGACATGTCAGTATGAAGCATCTGTTGGCCTGATACAGGGAGGGTGACATGTCAGTATGAAGCATCTGTTGGCCTGATACAGGGAGGGTGACAGTATGTCAGTATGAAGCATCTGTTGGCCTGATCCAGGGAGGGTCACATGTCAGTATGAAGTATCTGTTGGCCTGATCCAGGGACGTTGACATGTCAGTATGAAGTATCTGTTGGCCTGATCCAGGGAGGGTCACATGTCAGTATGAAGCATCTGTTGGTCTTATCCATGGAGGATGACAGTATGTCAGTATTAATCTCCCGTTGGCCTGATCCAGGGAGGGTGACAGTATGTCAGTATGTAGCATCTGTTGGCCTGATCCAGGGAGGGTGACAGTATGTCAGTATGAAGTATCCGTTGGCCTGATCCAGGGAGGGTGACAGTATGTCAGTATGAAGTATATGTTGGCCTCATCCAGGGAGGGTGAAATGTCAGTATGAAGCATCTGTTGGCCTGATACAGGGAGGGTGACAGTATGTCAGTATGAAGTATCTGTTGGCCTGATACAGGGAGGGTGACATGTCAGTATGAAGCATCTGTTGGCCTGATCCAGGGAGGGTGACATGTCAGTATGAAGTATCTGTTGGCCTGATCCAGGGAGGGTGACAGTATGTCAGTATGAAGCATCTGTTGGCTTGATCCAGGGAGGGTGACAGTATATCAGTATGTAGCATCTGTAGGTCAGAACTAGGGAGGTCGACAGTACCTCATTATGAAGTATCTGTTGGCCTGATCCAGGGAGGGTGACATGTCAGTATGAAGTAATTGTTGGCCTGATACAGGGAGGGTGACATGTCAGTATGAAGCATCTGTTGGCCTGATACAGGGAGGGTGAGAGTTTCTCAGTATGAAGCATCTGTTGGCCTGATCAAGGGAGGGTGACATGTCAGTATGAAGCATCTGTTGGCCTGATACAGGGACGGTGACATGTCAGTATAAAGCATCTGTTGGCCTGATCCAGGGAGGGTGACATGTCAGAATGAAGTATCTGTTGGCCTGATCCAGGGAGGGTGACAGTATGTCAGTATGAAGCATCTGTTGGCCTGATCCAGGGAGGGTGACATGTCAGTATGAAGTATCTGTTGGCCTGATCCAGGGAGGGTGACAGTATGTCAGTATGAAGCATCTGTTGGCCTGATACAGGGAGGGTGACATGTCAGTATGAAGCATCTGTTGGCCTGATCCAGGGAGGGTCACATGTCAGTATGAAGTATCTTTTGGCCTGATCCAGGGAGGGTGAAGCATCTGTTGGCCTGATCCAGGGAGGGTGACATGTCAGAATGAAGTATCTGTTTGCCTGATCCAGGGAGGCTGACAGTATGTCAGTATGATGTATCTGTTGGCCTGATCCAGGGAGGGTCACATGTCAGTGTGAAGCATCTGTTGGCCTGATCAAGGGAGGGTGACATTGCAGTATGAAGCATCTGTTGGCCTAATCGAGGGAGGGTGAAGGATCTGTTGGCCTGATCCAGGTAGGGTGACATGTCAGTATGAAGTATCTGTTGGCCTGATCGAGGGAGGGTGACATGTCATTATGAAGTATCTGTTGGCCTGATCCAGGGAGGGTGACATGTCAGTATGAAGTATCTGTTGGCCTGATCCAGGGAGGGTGACATGTCAGTATGTAGCATCTGTTGGCTTGATCCAGGGAGGGTGACAGTATGTCAGTATGTAGCATCTGTAGGTCAGAACTAGGGAGGTCGACAGTACCTCAGTATGAAGTATCTGTTGGCCTGATCCAGGGAGGGTGACATGTCAGTATGAAGGATCTGTTGGCCTGATACAGGGAGGGTGACATGTCAGTATGAAGCATCTTTTGGCCTGATACAGGGAGGGTGACAGTATCTCAGTATGAAGCATCTGTTGGCCTGATCAAGGGAGGGTCACATGTCAATATGAAGCATCTGTTGGCCTGATCCAAGGAGGGTGACAGTATGTCAGTATGAAGCATCTGTTGGCCTGATCCAGGGAGGGTCACATGTCAGTATGAAGTATCTGTTGGCCTGATCCAGGGAGGGTGATATTGCAGTATGAAGCATCTGTTGGCCTGATCGAGGGAGGGTGAAGGATCTGTTGGCCTGATCCAGGTAGGGTGACCTGTCAGTATGAAGCATCTGTTGGCCTGATCGAGGGAGGGTGACATGTCATTATGAAGTATCTGTTGGCCTGATCCAGGGAGGGTGACATGTCAGTATGAAGTATCTGTTGGCCTGATCCAGGGAGGGTGACATGTCAGTATGTAGCATCTGTAGGTCAGAACTAGGGAGGTCGACAGTACCTCAGTATGAAGTATCTGTTGGCCTGATCCAGGGAGGGTGACATGTCAGTATGAAGTAATTGTTGGCCTGATACAGGGAGGGTGACATGTCAGTATGAAGCATCTGTTGGCCTGATACAGGGAGGGTGACATGTCAGTATGAAGCATCATTTGGCCTGATCCAGGGAGGGTGACAGTATCTCAGTATGAAGCATCTGTTGGCCTGATCTAGGGAGGGTCACATGTCAGTATGAAGCATCTGTTGGCCTGATCCAGGGAGGGTGACAGTATGTCAGTATGAAGCATCTGTTGGCCTGATCCAGGGAGGGTCACATGTCAGTATGAAGTATCTGTTGGCCTGATCCAGGGAGGGTGACCGTATGTCAGTATGAAGCATCTGTTGGCCTGATCCAGGGAGGGTCACATGTCAGTATGAAGCATCTGTTGGCCTGATCCAGGGAGGGTGACATGTCAGTATGAAGCATCTGTTGGCCTGATCCAGGGAGGGTGACAGTATGTTAGTATGGAGCATCTTTAGGTCAGATCCAGGGAGGGTGACAGTATGTCAGTATGAATCTCCTGTTGGCCTGATCTAAGGAGAGTGACAGTATGTCAGTATGAAGCATCTGTTGGCCTGATCCAGGGAGGGTCACATGTCAGTATGAAGCATCTGTAGGTCAGATCCAGGGAGGTCGACAGTATGTCAGTATGAAGCATCTGTTGGCCTGATCTAGGGAGGGTGACATGTCAGTATGAAGCATGTGTTGGCCGGATCCAGGGAGGATGACAGTTTGTCAGTATGAAGCATCTGTTGGCCTGATCCAGGGAGGGTGACATGTCAGTATGAAGCATCTGTTGGCCTGATCCAGGGAGGGTGACAGTATGTTAGTATGAAGCATCTTTAGGTCAGATCCAGGGAGGGTGACAGTATGTCAGTATGAATCTCCTGTTGGCCTGATCTAAGGAGAGTGACAGTATGTCAGTATGAAGCATCTGTTGGCCTGATCCAGGGAGGGTCACATGTCAGTATGAAGCATCTGTAGGTCAGATCCAGGGAGGTCGACAGTATGTCAGTATGAAGCATCTGTTGGCCTGATATAGGGAGGGTGACATGTCAGTATGAAGCATGTGTTGGCCGGATCCAGGGAGGATGACAGTTTGTCAGTATGAAGCATCTTTAGGTCAGATCCAGGGAGGGTGACATGTCAGTATGAATCTCCTGTTGGCCAGATCCAGGGAGGGTGACATTGTGTCAGTATGTAGCATCTGTTGGCCTGATCCATGGAGTGTGACAGTATGTCAGTATGTAGCATCTTTAGGTCAGATCCAAGGAGGGTGACATGTCAGTATGAAGCATCTGTTGGCCTGATCCAGGGAGGGTCACATGTCAGTATGAAGTATCTGTTGGCCTGATCCATGGAGTGTGACAGTATGTCAGTATGTAGCATCTTTAGGTCAGATCCAAGGAGGGTGACATGTCAGTATGAAGCATCTGTTGGCCTGATCCAGGGAGGGTCACATGTCAGTATGAAGCATCTGTTGGCCTGATCCAGGGAGGGTGACAGTATGTCAGTATGAAGCATCTGTTGGCCTGATTCACGGAGGGTAACTGTAGGCAAGTATGAATCTCCTGTTGGCCTGATACAGGGAGGGTGGCAGTATGTCAGTATCCTTTTGTTAATCACCTTTTATGTATAGCTTACGATCTCATAGTAAGCCTGCTTTTTTTGACGAATTATTTTACTCCTTGGAGAATCTTTGATGCATGAACGTGGCCGATTAAGTAAAGTTATCAACTGCTATCTTCACCAGTGCCCTGTGTTATCCTTGTTCATTTATCGTGCATAATAAATCCAGGGGAAAGGTTTAGTCGATTGTAAAACCTGACTCGAATGACAATACCTAACTTTCAAAACCTATCTCGTTTGTAATGGTCTTTCGGTCACGGTATCAAAGTTTATGTTATAATTATTTATTTTTTTACAGTTGTACTAATATTTTTTCAATTTTGCATGTCTTTGGTGCTTAAAGAGAAGCATTTCTCTTTTTAGATCTGACCCGGAAGAGACGTCGTCAGATTGGTTAAACAGGGCCAGAAATGTAGCTCCCTTTGTGGTAGGAGCTGTGGCTCTACCTGTAGCAATACCTTTTGCTCTCTCTGCCGCGGGCTTCGGGGCCAGTGGAATAGTGGCAGGAAGCTTGGCAGCACGAGCGATGTCTGTAGCTGCTGTTGCTAATGGAGGGGGCGTAGCTGCTGGAGGAGCTGTTGCTGTCTGCCAGTCGGTTGGTGCAGTGGGAATGAGTTCTGCTGCCACTGCTGCTGCAAGTTCGGTTGGCGTTGCAGTTGTTGGCGCCTGGAAAGGCGCTACATCTTTTTTCAATCGGAGGAATAACAATTAGAATGTTTAATCAATGGCATATTGATTGATTGTATTGTTGGTCATGTATTAACTTAGGTGTGATTCATGCCCAGCTCGTTATCTATATGGTTTAAATTAATGTGTGCGACTTATTCCACTAGGTCCGCGTTCTTTATGGACTATTAATTGAGTTAACTTAATTACTGAACTTGCAGCTGATTAATGTAACCAGTAAACTTGGAACAGCGATGTTTTATGATTTGCGTCCCTTAGGCAGGCCAGAATCCTGTGATTATGTCGACAATGATAAAACCTGTTTCTTATTATTTGCATTAATTGGACTGTTGCTTGTCCACATGAAGGTTAGGATTGGCCTTCAACAACCCTTGCTTGTTGTAAGAGGCGACCAACAGTATCTGTTGGTCAGGAACGCTGACTTGGTTCATGCATGTCTTCGCATTCTCAATTGCATAGAACGATGCTCATGATGTCAATCACTGGATTGTCTGGTCCAGACTCGATTATTTAAAGACCGCTGTCATATAGCTGGAATATTGCCGAGTGTGGCATTAAACAACAAACAAACAAACAGGTCGTCGTCATATATAGTTAGAATATTGAGTAGGTGAGACCTGAAACGACAACGGTAAGAATGATTTATGTATAGTTGTATATGCTTTATTCATTGGTAACTCTACCATTGTCACCATATTGTCATTTCAATCATTGTCACAGCACCAATAAAGTCTATCCTTGTTACGGCAGATGTCATACAGCTGGTCCAAATTGGCACACCAGTCATGAAGCAGCCCAGGCAAAAAGGATAATGAGTATCTTACACAGTTTGACAAATTTCACTGATCTTTCACATAAAACCTTTTTTTAAATTAATTGATGCACAAATTACTCATTATTTTATTTGAAGCAGAGGTCTGGGGTCTTAATGAACTCGGAGATATTGAACTGGTTCATCTATATGGTTGCAAAATGTTCCTTGGCGTCAAACAGTACTTCGAATATAATGTTTTCAATGATGGTTTTCGAAATAGAAATACTTATTCCTAAATTTTGTCGGCAAAGTTTTATCAGCGATTTCGGAAAAAAACGTGTTCCAAATGAAGTCTGACGGAAGGTCGGATCCTAATGCTCCTTTTGACTACGATCCCAATTGCCCGGATCGATGCTCATGATATCAATCACTGGATTGTCTGGTCCAGATTATTTACAGACCGCCGGCATATAGCTGGAATATTGCTGAGTGCGGCTTAAAACAACCAACCAACCAACCAACCAACCAACTTTCCAAACTTTCGAAATTCGTGATGTTTCGGCCAATTATGCAAACTTTCGGTGGTTAATCGGGTAGAAAAATATGAAGAATGCAAGGAATGGGTTACGAAAGATGTACGAATTACATGATTCATGTACGGATCATGCACGAATTGTAAGAATCACCTACGACTATGTTACGAATATGCCGAATGTTCTTCTTACTTAATTCTTACATGATTCGTAGATGACTCGGGATATTCGTGGCTGTTTCGGAATGTGTTCGGGTTGAGGACAAGAAATTTTGGGAGCCACGAATCGCTAAGAATAGTCAAGAATGCAAAAGAATCGGTTACGAAGCTGTTATGGAACATAAGAATTAATTACGAATACACGATACAGCCACGAAATTGCAATTCGACCCTTCCACGAAAGTTTTTGACAAACAAAAGCTTTCTCGCCGATTCGACGAACTCCCGCGAACTGTACGATTCATTTGAGAACTTCAAGAAATGATTGAGATTTATCTACGAATATGAACAATTTCCTATTCGGGGTGATTTGGGATATTCGTGGTCGTAGTGAAATGGGGACATAAAACTATATACACCCGCCCCAGTTCAAGACTGGTTGATGAGGTAAATCAAGGACCAAAGGTCCACCTGTAAGGAATATTACTTTCAGCAATGACAAACATTGCAAAGTGCGCATTTCAAGAAATGTCAATTTTTTGCGACAAACATTATGGAGTTTTTATCACGTGGCTTCAGTCCGGGTAAGAATTGACAGTCACGTGACTGTGAGAGGTTATGTTTACCAATGACCTTGGTGAATTGTGCTTTAAATACTCAGGGATGTGAGCAGATTTTGCCGAAAAAAGAGGAAAAGTCTAGGGGGGTCTGGGGGTATGCCCCCCCCAGAAATTTTTAAAACATTTGATTGCATTTTAGGCAATTTCATGCAGTTTGGACAACATTCACACCAAGAAATGTAATAAGTCAATGGCAAAAGTCAATAAGTAAAATAAACAAGATGGCAGATGCAGTAAAATTTCGAAGTTAAATCAGTACTTTAAAAAAATCGGGCATAGCTTTCGCGCACCTGGCTACCCGCCAGGTCTGGGAGCAATACTGCCATAAACTTAAACCCCCATCCCCCAGACACAAGGACAACTGTCACAAGCGTGCAATGTCTGACCCTTTCCCCATGTTGAAGCATATTGAAAAAAACTTACCTTGTACTTACTTACCTTTTGATGAAAAAAACCAAACTCCATTGCAAACTTAAGACATTAATACAATATATATCCCCATGACATGGGGTTTTGGACGCTGAAGAAACATTCATAAATTTCTCGCTTATCACATGAACAACTGTAAAACATCTCATTCACTTACAGGCTAAAAGACAACTTTATCTTAAAAACAAGCCATCAGCTGACTCTGAGTATTTACAATTTCTGTGTGACGCCACACCCAACGTTATAGTGCAAGTATTCGTGACAGAAAACGTATGATGTCCGAAAACCTATGCTGTGAAAGCTCCGATCGAAAACAGGACAATCGGCGCCAATTGTCCTGTTTTCGATCATATTTTTCGGAGTGTTTTTTAATAATTTTTTCCGCGGAAGATGATTGTTTCCGAGGACTACTGTTTTAAAAAACGCGATTTCACATCCCTGGGGAATAAATGTGCGGACTACGTAACTTCCGTTACCTCATTAGTCGCCATGAATATGCAGATGATCTAGTTCAGGTCGATAGAGAAAGTTTACTTGGGGAACTGCTGGTTATATCGTTGGCCATTGATAGATGGGGGTAAGGCAATATTACAACAGATGCCAGAAATATGTATCAACGGATTAATAACTCCTTACTTACAGCACGGACCTAAGTCCGTGCTTACAGCAGACGGAACATTCCGACGAAATTGAAATTGTTTACGAAGTGAGCACTTCCTGGTAACTGATTTGCATTAATAGACAGCCGCTAAGAGGCGTGTCCCGCGTGAACTACCGGAAATCACAAATGCCGCGATACGATGAATGCCGCGGTACCATGGGGTCCGAGTATACAGCTCGAATATATAATGTCTGTAGAAGCTCTATGCATAACTTATATACACATGCACAAAAGTTAAGCGCCACCCACCATATTTGTGAGCTGTTACTTTTGGCACTTAATGATGACTATTATAAAGAGATGTACGATTGTTATAAGCCCTATACGTAAACCTCATGTGATGCAAAAGTTGTCCCAAAGCAAGTTTATCTTGTGTTCCAAAAGAATATGAGCAGAAAGGAATTTCTTGGTATTGTGAGCCATTCAGGTTTCCACGAATTGTCACCAGCGGAAGTTTGCAGCCGAAGGAAACACAACCCCATATCATGACACACCAGAGCGAATATTCCTTTTAGGAATGAGAGAGTGAATGGGCATTGCTTAACACCGCATCAGCATTCTTCCTGTTACTATATACCACAAGGCAAATATGGTCAAGCTCATTACCTTGGATGGTGGACATGTACAGGGGTGAGTGAGTTGGTTTTAACACGCTATGATTGGTTTGTTTGGTTGTTGTTTAACGCTGCATTCAGCAATATTCCAGCTATATGACGGCGGTCTGTAAATATGCAAGTCTTGACCAGACAATCCAGTGATCGATATCATGAGCATCAATCCACACGATTGGTTTGGTTGGTTTGTTGTTTTACGCCGCACTCAGCAATATTCCAGCTATATGACGGCGGTCTGTAAATAATCGAATCTGGACCAGACAATCCAGTGATTAATATCATGAGCATGGATCCACGCAATTGGGACCGATGACATGCATCAACCAAGTCAGCGAGCCTGACCACCCAATCCCGTTAGTCGCCTTTTACGACAAGCATAGTCACCTTCAACGGCAAGCATGGGTTGCTGAAGACCTATTCTACCCTGGATCTTCACGGGTCCACGCAATTGGGACCGATGACATGCATCAACCAAGTCAGCGAGCCTGACCACCCAATCCCGTTAGTCGGCTCTTACGACAAGCATAGTCACCTTTAACGGCAAGCATGGGTTGCTGAAGACCTATTCTACCCTGGATCTTCACGGGTCCACGCAATTGGGACCGATGACATGCATTAACCAAGTCAGCGAGCCTGACCACCCGATCCCGTTAGTCATCTCATACAACAGGCTATGAATATTATTCCAATTAAATCACGGTGGTACCCCGATGGAGAGCGATTGTGGTCATAATATCAATCACAGGTTTGTCCAACCCAAACCTGATTATGACAGACACCTCACCCCCTTATGTAGCAGTCCTCAAACCAGTCCAGTTTAAAAAACCAGAAACACTTCAAGTCTGTTTACATAAAACATTTATTACATGACATTACCGACCATACACTCACAGTCCACTAGACATGCAGAGTTGGCTCATCTTCCCGAGGCAAGGGAATTAACTGAATGTCAAAGTGGACTTTTAACAATCCAGTGCAAACAATGACCATGAGATCATCGTGATGATAATAATATAAATATAAGAACAAACACTTCGGCACAAGCACACAATATACACATCTGGTTACAGTCTCACAGCTATTCATTACTATAAGGTTATAGGGACCTAGGTACAGAGCATGGGGTGCCTCAGCTAAGTTGGGTTAAATAACGTCAGAGTTATCTCCCTTCCTTTCAGTTTCAGATGCTACTCCAGTTTCGTTTGAAGTACACCTTGGTGACCTGTATTCTTACACACTTCATTGTATTGTACTATGACCTGAGTGAGTGAGTTGGGTTTAATGCAGCTTTTAACAGTATTCCTGTTATATCTGGCGTGTCAGCTTAATGTGGGAGGAAAGCCTGAAGTGATGCAGGTCTCAGACGGGAAGGTCTTCACTTCGATGAAACCTAAATATGGTCCTGACAAACCTAGAAACACAATCAGGACGAACCAGGATTCAAACCCACAATCATAGGTTTCTGGCGTGTCCAAGGGACATAACTCTGCACAGCGAATCGCTGCACCTTAGACAACTGGGCCACCCGTGCACCAACTGGGATTTGAACCAACGATCGTAGGTTTCTGGCTCGTAGGTTTCTGGTGTGCACAGAAATACAGTGTTTGGCAGGGGGTGATAATAACAGTATTTAGGCTAGAGAGGACTTTCTACACACCAAGGGGGCTCAGCACAATTGGAGTTTGAGAAGATTAGAGTACAAACTATCTAGATCAGTCTGTTAGCCACCAGCCTGAGTCAAGTACAATTTTGTTCAGTATAGTAAGGTCTTGTAATGACAGCCCAAATACCACTGAACTCTACTGATGCTTGGACCCTTAATAAGGCTAGCAGATACAAAGTGTTTTGGCACAGACTGTACCATATAAAATAATGTATCCTTCCTTGAATCAAGGAAACATGCAGTGTATCATTAATGCTGCTTCGTATATTTGCTGCGTCAGCTTAATTTGGACGGAATGCTTTAAATCATACAGATTGACACCGCTACACATGGTGCCCAGGGATCCATAATTTGATTGTTTGTTTGTTTATTAACACCACACTCAGCACTATTCCAGCAAAAGACGGCAGGCTGTAAATAATCAAGTCTGGTGCAGATAATCCAGTGATTGACATCAAGAGCGTCGATCCACGCAATTGGGATACAATGACATGTATCAACCAAGTCAGCAAGCCTGACCACCCAATCCCGCTTGTGCCAAGGATTTGGGTCAGCCAGGGATCCATAATCAGCAGATCCTGGCAACTAAAGGGAGATAACTCAGCAAGGTGTGGCCACCCAGAGTGACAGGGACAGGGATGACGTCAATGGCTAAAAAAGTGCTCACACCTAAGTTATTTAGTCTTCTTGTAAGAGATTCACTACAAACTAATAAACAGGTACTATCCTTATAAGGCATCCTAAAGTTGAAAATACTTTCTTTTTTTTTGTTATCAAAAGATGCCACTTATGACTGTGACATTTAACTTGCCTAAACTGTAGATAAATATATCAATACACTTCAACATTTTTGGCTCTTGAAATGAGTACTTTGGGTGATGGATAAATTGTCTCTTGCATGATTTTATGACATAAATGTATGAATTTCTGACTTTCATTCTCTCTCAAACAGAAGTTTCAACAAACCTATGATGTACACATCCAGTCAGACACATTAACACATACATCATCTTACCCTCTCCTGACTTGCAGCCTCATCATATATATATACACAGTTGTCTGGAATACAACATACAGCACAGATAGGAATAGGATGTTGTGTGGAAACCAGTTTCCACCAAGCCTGCTGCCGACGCTAGCCAGCATGTTATGGATTATGTACAGACGCCCCATGTCACCTGATAGTGCCTAGTTCATTTCATTTGTTGCAGTCAGATCAGTCCTAGTTTTACAAACAACCAGTAGCCAGCATGTTATGGATTATGTACATGTTGGGTTGTATAGACTCTTCTTTAACACTCCACTGTTACTTCTCACACCTGATAGTGCCTAGTTCATTTCATTTGTTGCAGTCAGATCAGTCCTAGTTTTACAAACAACCAGTAGCCAGTTTCACTTTTGTAGTTGACCACAATGGCTGCCTCCCACCCCTGCGCAATGGTGACTTAGCATAACACAACAGGCTAATTTGCTTGTCACGTGACACGACTTTTCTCTTGACAAAGTAGATACAATTTATCCAAGCAGTGTTCGAAATACCTGCCTGCCCGACCGTCCGAGACGGGTTGATTTCAACTCGGGCTGCCAGATGTTCAAATCCCCCTGCCCGACGGTCGGGTTATATTTCATATGTGAAAATATTCTAAATATTTCCTGATGATAAGCATTAATTCACATGTAAAGATGAATGATAAAATGTAACCAAAAAGAAACCCCGTAAGCTTATCCTGAGAAACACATGATTATAGTGGGCAGGCGGGTTTTGGTCAGGGCTGGCAAGTATTTCAGGTAGCCAGTCCTGTGGACTGGCTGAAAGTTTTGGGAGTTTCATACCCTGATCCAAGGCGATGTTTTGTAATAGAACGGTATAAGGAGCTATACCGAAATGTCGCCTTTACAATACTAAAGAAGTTGTTATCCATAAATTGTGTCTACTTTGTCATCCGTCAACTTCTAAGTAAAGCCTCTCAAACAAGACTTTTCTCTCGTTTGTAAACAAACATGCTTGTTCTGAAATCAGAACAGATTGGCCTAATGCAAGCCTTTTTGAGCATTTACATATTGTTTTGCATAATCATATAGGTATGAGATAGTACACAAACTTTCATGATAGTGAGAAACAACCCTTGATATTCACTCCTACTAATCATGTCTTTTAGGAATGAAATTACATGGAAATACAAAAAAAAGCCATGCAAATAAACATTCTAAAAATCCCTCAACCAAAACATTATTCTTATTTGTATCATTAAAATATTTATCAGATTCTGTTTTTTGTTCCAAGCCAGTGAAACAAGTAACCTTCAAGCACATAGCTTGTAGTCTTGAAATGTTATAAATATTCCAAAAACAAACAGAAATATAGACTTGATACCAGTTTGACTGGACTTTGGGATACCATTAACATGAGGCAAGCTGCCCTGGTCTGTAGGCTGGCGGAAAGTTCTACCCTACCATCTCGTTCATACTGGCCAACTACATCATTCAAGGGAGGTAACTACAAGGGAGATAACTGTTGTGTTGGTATAGCTCAATAGAAGGAATTCTGGAGTTGAGATGGGATTCCGAGATACATCTGCAGCGAAACCATGGAAACACAGGCTGTGAAAACGGCTTTAGATATCAGCAATGTCCATGATCCGAACCCAACAGCATGGATGAGAATTCTGAAAGAGACAAGAAAAATCTTCAGTATCATACACATTAAATAACTGGAGGTGACACCTTGTTTGTTTGTTGATTTGTTTGTTGTTTAACGTCGCACTCAGCAATATTCCAGCTGTATGACGACAGGCTGTAAATATCTAAGTTGGACCAAACATATTCTCTGTTTGACATCACGAGCATCGATTCACTCAGTTGGGGTACGATGACATGCATCAACCAAGTCAGCGAGCCTGACCACCAGATCCCGTTATTCGCCTCTTACTACAAGCATAGTCACCTTTTACCGCAAGCATGGGTTGCTGAAGACCTATTCTACCCCGGGTCTTCACAGATCAGGTGACTTCAAGGTGACTTCTAACTGCATGTTAGAAGTGTGTGCTGCCCAAGTGTGTTGCATGCTACAGAAGTTCACTGCAGTGATGTACGTGTCTGAATTCTTAGTCAATGCTGTGGAGTGAGTGAGTGAGTATGGTTTTATGCCGCTTTTAGCAACGTTTTAGCAATATCACGGCGGGGGTCACTGAAAATGGGCTTCACACATTGTGCCCATGTCGGGAATCGAACCCAGGTCTTCGGCGTGACGAACTAACGCTTTAACCACTAGGCTACCCGACCGCCCCCAATGCTGTGGAGTCCACGGTGAGCAGGCTACACTTGGTAATCATGCACAGTGTTGTCTTACTGTTGCTGTTTTGTTTCATGTGCATTGGGGTACAGTCATTTATTCTTTGTATTTTACAAGATATGTCGGGGATTTATCTAGGATTCCATACTATGTGCCCTTTGCAGACAATTGGTAACAAATTAATTTTTTTCAAAATTTGGGAACTTCTGAAAAGTACTCCTGTACTCAATCTACAAAGAGGGGCCTGTAACAGCCAGACTATCCCACTTTAACACTGGTACTCACTCAACAATGAAGGGCCTGTAACAGCCCAACTATCCCACTATAACACCGGTACACACTCTACAATGAGGGGCCTGTAACAGCCAGACTGCCCCACTATAACACCGGTACTCACTCTACAATGAGGCCCTGTAACAGCCAGACTACCCCACTATATCACCGGTACTCACTCAACAATCAGGGTCTGTAACAGCCAGACTATCCCACTATAACACCGGTACTCACTCTACAATGAGGGGCCTGTAACAGCCAGACCACCCCACTATAACACCGGTACACACTCTACAATGAGGGGCCTGTAACAGCCAGACTACCCCACTATAACACCGGTACTCACTCAACAATCAGGGCCTGTAACAACCAGACTATCCCACTATAACACCGGTACTCACTCTACAATGAGGGGCCTGTAACAGCCAGACCACCCCACTATAACACCGGTACACACTCAACAATGAGGGGCCTGTAACAGCCAGACTACCCCACTATAGCACCGGTACTCACTCTACAATGAGGGGTCTGTAACAGCCAGACTATCCCACTATAACACCGGTACTCACTCAACAATGAGGGGTCTGTAACAGCCAGACCACCCCACTATAACACCGGTACTCACTCTACAATGAGGGGTCTGTAACAGCCAGACTACCCCACTATAACACCGGTACTCACTCTACAATGAGGGGTCTGTAACAGCCAGACTATCCTACTATAACACCGGTACAAGCTCTACAATGAGGGGCCTGTAACAGCCAGACTACCCCACTGTAACACCGGTACTCACTCAACAATGAGGGGTCTGTAACAGCCAGACCATCCCACTTTAATACTGGTACTCACTCAACAATGAGGGGTCTGTAACAGCCAGACCATCCCACTTTAATACCGGTACTCACTCTACAATGAGGGGTCTGTAACAGCCAGACTATCCTACTATAACACCGGTAAAAGCTCTACAATGAGGGGCCTGTAACAGCCAGACTACCCCACTATAACACCGGTACTCACTCAACAATGAGGGGTCTGTAACAGCCAGACCATCCCACTTTAATACTGGTACTCACTCAACAATGAGGGGTCTGTAACAGCCAGACCATCCCACTTTAATACCGGTACTCACTCTACAATGAGGGGTCTGTAACAGCCAGACTATCCTACTATAACACCGGTACAAGCTCTACAATGAGGGGTCTGTAACAGCCAGACCATCCCACTTTAATACTGGTACTCACTCAACAATGAGGGGCCTGTAACAGCCAGACCATCCCACTATAACACCGGTACTCACTCAACAATGAGGGGTCTGTAACAGCCAGACTATCCCACTATAACACCGGTACTCACTCAACAATGAGGGGTCTGTAACAGCCAGACCATCCCACTATAACACCGGTACTCACTCTACAATGAGGGGCCTGTAACAGCCAGACTACCCTACTATAACACCGGTACTCACTCAACAATCAGGGCCTGTAACAACCAGACTATCCCACTATAACACCGGTACTCATTCTACAATGAGGGGCCTGTAACAGCCAGACCACCCCACTATAACACCGGTACACACTCAACAATGAGGGGCCTGTAACAGCCAGACTACCCCACTATAGCACCGGTACTCACTCTACAATGAGGGGTCTGTAACAGCCAGACTATCCCACTATAACACCGGTACTCACTCAACAATGAGGGGTCTGTAACAGCCAGACCACCCCACTATAACACCGGTACTCACTCTACAATGAGGGGTCTGTAACAGCCAGACTACCCCACTATAACACCGGTACTCACTCTACAATGAGGGGTCTGTAACAGCCAGACTATCCTACTATAACACCGGTACAAGCTCTACAATGAGGGGCCTGTAACAGCCAGACTACCCCACTGTAACACCGGTACTCACTCAACAATGAGGGGTCTGTAACAGCCAGACCATCCCACTTTAATACCGGTACTCACTCAACAATGAGGGGTCTGTAACAGCCAGACCATCCCACTTTAATACCGGTACTCACGCTACAATGAGGGGTCTGTAACAGCCAGACTATCCTACTATAACACCGGTAAAAGCTCTACAATGAGGGGCCTGTAACAGCCAGACTACCCCACTATAACACCGGTACTCACTCAACAATGAGGGGTCTGTAACAGCCAGACCATCCCACTTTAATACTGGTACTCACTCAACAATGAGGGGTCTGTAACAGCCAGACCATTCCACTTTAATACCGGTACTCACTCTACAATGAGGGGTCTGTAACAGCCAGACTATCCTACTATAACACCGGTACAAGCTCTACAATGAGGGGTCTGTAACAGCCAGACCATCCCACTTTAATACTGGTACTCACTCAACAATGAGGGGCCTGTAACAGCCAGACCATCCCACTATAACACCGGTACTCACTCAACAATGAGGGGTCTGTAACAGCCAGACTATCCCACTATAACACCGGTACTCACTCAACAATGAGGGGTCTGTAACAGCCAGACCATCCCACTATAACATCGGTACTCACTCTACAATGAGGGCCCCTAACAGTCAGACTACCCCACTATAACACCGGTACTCACTCAACAATCAGGGTCTGTAACAGCCCGACTATCCCACTATAACACCTGTACACACTCTACAATGAGGGGCCTGTAACAGCCAGACTACCCCACTATAACACCGGTACTCACTCTACAATGAGGGGTCTGTAACATCCGAGGGCCAGCAGGGACATGACATGACGATGGGGACCAGTGACTTCTGCAGGTCACTACGGCAGTACAGCCAAACCAACATGGCCATACTGATGTGGTGGATCTGAAACAAACAAATTAATGACAGTCAAAATGGAATATTGCAAGTGTGAGTGAGTGTTACTCTATTTGAAGAGTGTCTCAGTTCTATCAAGGCCCATTACTCCAAAGGGACACAACTTGTTGATGGTTACAACTTCGGTGAAATCCATGAATGAGGCAACAGTGCTGACAGACCAAGGGTCATGTCAAGGAGAATCTAGGATTCAAATCCAGATCCTGGAACAGCTAAGGGACGGAACTCTGTACAGCAAAATGTACCACCTCTCTCAAGCACTCAAAATTGTCAGTTACAATGATGTAGATGGAGACCGACTGACAATAATAAATTCCAAGAAAACATTTCAAGGATTTGGTCACGAGGGGAGGATAGATAAAATAAGATACTGCTCCTATTTAATGATTTAAACAATACTGCTTTCACATCAGTTTAAATACTGTAAATTTTGAAATTAACGCGAGCGTGAATTAAATGCGAAAAATGCGATTGGTCTTTGTTCGCATTAATGAAACTTCGCATTAATCTCTTTCAACATGACTATCAACAATAAGACGGTCGCACTGCACACTTTGGATAGGGGAAATACCACCTTGAATATAAACACAAACATGGTTTATTGAGCCGAATATTGACCGAATAAACATATAAACTGTGTGTTGTTTTTAGGAAAACACCTAATTGTTTTTATGGAATGCTCTTCTCAGCACTTATAAGCGGTGCTATTTGTGTTTGATTGGATTAATTTAAGGTTGTATTAAGATAAGGACATGAGGGGGGGGGGGGGGGGGGGGGGGGGGGAGATGCATCTTTGGCTAGGGGTCGGCAGTCGTATTAATTTTTAGACGCATTAATATCAAGATTTACAGTACATTAGACGCCAACACAAGAACGCTAAGGAACTTCTCTCCTTCAATGAACAGTGTTGAAAGAAAAAAATTGCATTCTGGAAATTGTGATCATTTGATCTTCACCTTCATGATGTGAGCCATTTTCCAGTGTGATGGTACACTCACCAGACTAACGTTGGAATCAAAGCTCATCTGCACATACTTCCAGTCGAACTCCACTCCTCTTGCTCCGACCCAGAGGGGCAGAAACCTGGACACAAACATCAAGGCCAGTGGATGAGTTTCTACATAGTCCTCATAATTCCAAATAGCAATCAAAGACTTAAATACACAGGCTAGAAAAAAATACAAAGGGAGTCTTTTCATAACAATTTCAATAGTGAGTGAGTGAGTGAGTGGGTGGGTGGGTGGGTGAGTGAGTGAGTGAGTGAGTGAGTGAGTGGGTGGGTGGGTGGGTGGGTGAGTGAGTGAGTGAGTGAGTGAGTGAGTTGGGTTTAACGCCGCTTAATGTGGGAGGAAAGCCCGACGTGATGCAGGTCTCAGGTGTTTACCACTTCGGTGAAACCCACGAGCACGGGTATGGTGCTGACAAACCTAGAAACATCGGATTCAAACCCACAATCATAGGTTTCTGGCATGCCCAAGGGACCCAACTCTTCACAGCTAACCGTGGGGCCTTAGACGACTGGGCCACCTGTGCCCCAAATAAATAATGAATAAGCAATGACAATAACTCTTACTACAAGAAAATCTGGAAATACACTGTTTAAATTGTTCAGGATGGCCAATCTCATTGAAAACAGATCATATTTCTTACTGCCGCTTAGCAAAGATCTGAGGACATCCCATTACAGGCAATGTCAGAATGATCTTTCGCAAACTTTGATCGACCAATGAAATGACTAACAAGAAGTCGACATTGAAAGCAGCTTTCTTGAGCTAATTTCAAACTGGTGATATCCATTTCAGACTATGTTTAAACATTTGTTGACAAAATTCTCGATTAAACATTTGAAAACTGAACAAAAGAACATTCTGGAATGCCTAAAATAGACAATGGCAGTACTTCTCACGTACTATGTAACGTCTCTCCTGTTCAAATGTTTATCCAACTGAATCGGGAGATGATTTGACGGAATAAGTGATACAGACCATAACGGTTATTCAGAATACCCTGTGTTACCATGCCGCAGTTTAACATGAATACCCCACTCAGACACAGTATACTGACTCCGAGCCGACCAGTCCTTGTTTTAGCCCCTTACAGGGATGTGAGCAGGTTTTCCCGAAAAAAGAGGAAAGTCTAGGGGTGTCTGGGGGCATGCCCCCACCCCCCCCAGATATTTTTAAAACATTTGATTGCATCTTAAGCAATTTCGTGCAGTTTGGACAACATTCACACCAAGAAATGTAATAAGTCAATGGCCAAAGTCAATAAGTCAAATAAACAAGATGGCAGATGCAGTAAAATTTCGAAGTTAAATCAGTACTTTTAAAAAATTGGGCATAGCTCTCGCGCACCTGGCTACCCGCCAGGTCTGGGAGCAATACTGCCATAAACTTCAACCCCCATCCCCCAGACACAAGGACAACTGTCACAAGCGTGCAATGTCTGACCCTTTCCCCATGTTGAAGCATATTGAAAAAAACTTACCTTGTACTTACCTCTTGATGAAAAAAACAAAACTCCATTGCAAACATAAGACATTAATACAACATATATCCCCATGACATGGGGTTTGGGACGCTGAAGAAACATTCATAGTTTTCTCGCTTATCACATGAACAACTGTTAAACATCTCATTCACTTACAGGCTAAAAGACAACTTTATCTTAAAAACAAGCCATCAGCTGACTCTGAGTATTTACAATTTCTGTGTGTAGCCACACCCCACGTTATAGTGCAAGTATTCGTGACAGAAAACGTATGATGTCCGAAAACCTATGCTGGTGAAAGCTCTGATCGAAAACAGGACAATCGGCGCCAATTGTCCTGTTTTCGATCATATTTTTCGTTGTGTTTTTAAAAAAAAATATATTAAATTTTTACGCGGGAGATGTTTTTTTCCGAGGACTACTGTTTTAAAAAACGCGATTTTCCGCGTTTCCGCGGAGATTTCACATCCCTGAATACTACATCTGCACGTGTTTCTCTTTCACGCATCCTGATCATGTTCGTACGCTGCACAGGCTACTAAATATGGTCCCTCGCAGTCACCTGACAGCCGATCCCCAGTCGGATTGTTACCACGTTTACACACTAATATCATCTCAACTATCATACATGTGACATATGCATGGACATTTTTGAATGGTCCTATTAAAAGTGTGCCTGCAGTCAGAATTGAAACCATTTGATGTAAAGGGAAATTAACGAAGTCGAATATAGACGGAATTATTTATATCAACTAATGAGGACAATGCAGCGATAAAACGTCATAAATGTCTCGATTAAACATCGCTCAAGGCATCTTCCCGAGGCAAGGGGGTTAACTGACCATAAAAGACCAGTTTCCACCCTTGCCAACCAAGGCTTGAATTTCTGGGCTGGATCCTAACACCACCAGTGGCTATTACGAATGATGTCCCTTTTATGTCCCTCCTATTGGACAATCAGATTCCACCCCTCATATCACTTGAATGCATTGGCTGGTTAGTCCAGAAAAAAACAGAACTCATTCGTTCCAGCCTAGTTCGCCAAGGCTGGAAACTGAACTTTTATAGTCAGTTAACCCCCTTGCCTCGTGAAGATGCGCTCAAGGTCCTTACTGGTGCATTGGTCGCCTTCTGACGTGCATGTCAAGATGATCCCACAAATGTTCGATTAAGGAGAACACGCGGGCCATGACAAAACATTAACGTTCATGTTGTTGAGGACGTCCCGTGTCAGCCTTGCAGTAGGGGGTCACGCGTGATCATGCTGGAAGATGATGCTGGATAACCCTGAACATATGTTATATATAATTAGTCCTGCTTATATAGCTTTAGGGGAAGCACCTACTCTCCAAACACTCTTCAGAACAGTTCTACTTTTCTGTTTTTGGTTTTTGTGGACTATCTATCCTTATTTTATAGGTCAACCACAAATAAAAAAATTAAAAAATTCTGGCATCGACGCGTCACTGTAAATCTTGCGCGTCAGTAGGGCCTTTACAGTAAATAGAGAAGTTGTTATCCATAAATTGGCTCTACTTTGGCATCCGTCAACTTCTAAGTAATGGCTATCAAACAATCATGTTGCAATGTTGTCTGCATTAGCATTAACTTCGTTTATGATCAGTGATGGTACCGAGATACGATCTATACAATTAGACTTATATCTGATAGTTTTTATCCAACATATTGATTGATTACAACACCTGATCGACCCGTGAAGATCCGGGGTAGAATAGGTCATCAGCAACACATGCTTGCCCTAAAAGGCGATTACGCGTGTCGCAAAGGGCGACTAACGGGATCGGGTGGTCAGGCTTGCTGGAATATTGCTTAGTCCGGTGTTAAACAACATACCAACCAAACCAAACCAAACCAACCAACAACACATGATCGATTGCGAACAACGAAATGGGCAATTAGGTGAATACACAAAATACTAATTTTACGCTTGTTCTGATTTTGACCACGTGCACACGCCGCTTCAAAGCCCTATTTCAGTTATACCACAGTATGAACCCAAAGTCATGCAGGTGAAGTCCTCATGGTTAGCCCCCCCTCCCCCATGTTTTGGACAATAAATAATGTTTAAAGAAAAGCAGAAACATATTGGTCCAGCCCTGTGGTTTCTGAGGAGACACAATCTCCTGAAAATCAGATCTTATAAAATCCTCTAGACTGAAGGAGACGACGGTTAAACATTTACTAAATTATCTGCCGTGTTGCAAACATACTTAAACCTTTGATCCTGATGGGTTAAAAATAAAGTGGAAATACATTTAAATGTTGCTTAGATTTGATAGTGGTCGCCGATAAATGTTAAGTCATATAGAGTTACTTACCTTATGAAATCATTCGGATTTTGTTCAATGATGTTTCAATATGTTGGAATGACAAATGCGCATAAACTGGGTTCCTGTCTCCGTTAGCATTCCCACGATACCGTTGAGAATAGAAGAACCAGTTTAAACGAAGGGGAAAGCGGAACTCCACACAGTGACCAACTTCAACCACATTAGTGATCTTCGCGAAGGTAGTACGCGCTGGGATGGAGCTTTGAAAACCCTGCCTGTGTCCGATGTTTTCCGACTGTTACCCACAATACCGTTGTGTTTACATCGTTGCCAAGGAAGAGTTGTGCATGGGGTGACGACGTTGTATCAAGAAATCATTCGATGTAAACGCAACACTATCTCATCGGGAGGAAGACAAATATACCAGAAAAATGAGCTTCAAGGAAGTGAACAGCGAGAGGCGTCAGGATTGGCATGAAACGAGCGCAGGTGTCGGCCATCATTACAGGCCGGGATATTATTTTCCCAATTCTGAATTTCAGGTAGGCCATCATTAATCATATCTATTTAACCGTCAAAATTTGTTATACATACGATATGTTATTACAATGGACGTAATGGGTAATGTTTACGCTGTCCCTGTCTTTATTATATACCATATAGAATGATATATTCCTTTGCAATTTAAAAAAAATAATAATACCCCCTTCTCGTTATGGTGTTTTATCAGACACATTAAGGGGATATAAATATCTAGGTATCTTGTGCAGTGTTTCTAAATTAAGCAAAAAAGTCATGGTATTAGGGCTGGGACGAGTCCAAATTTACAACCCGGGTACCCACCACCCTATTACCGACTCTACCTGGGTACCCGCTGTAGGTCTCAAGAGATAGGTCCAAATGTCCGACTGGGAGTAGTTTGACCGTAGCCTTGGCAAAATGTATTTAGACACTCATATAAAACATTCTGGTCATGCATAAAGTGAAGTTGAATGAAGTTTTATCTTTATGCAAACATATAAAGTCAGAAGAAATGCAAACATAAGTCAATTATAGTGTAACCATAGAGTTCATTAAATATCACGTGATTAACTGGTAGTCCGATGGGTACCCAGGTCCTACTCAGTACCCACCCGACCTGAGTACCCAAGTTACCCGTCCCACCCCTACAAAGTATCCTTGTCATACCACTAATGTTAAAAGCAGACAATTATTGAGTTCAAACACTGAAATACTTGGAGAAAACCTCAGGGACCCTATTAGCCAAGAACTGCAATGGGGTCCTACAGTCAAGAGTGAGTGAGTTGAGTTTATCGCCGCTTTTAACAGTTTTCCAGTTATATCACTGTCTGTCAGCTTAATGTGGGAGGAAAGCCCGAAGTGATGCAGGTCTCAGACATTTACCACTTCGGTGAAACCCACGAGCACGGGTATGGTGCTGACAAACCTAGAAACATTATTGAGGCGAACCGGGATTCGAACCCACAATCATAGGTTTCTGGCATGCTGAAGGGATGCAACACTGAACAGCGAATCGTGGCGCCTTAGACAACTGGGCCCCCTACAGTCAAGACATGACCCTACATCACGCAATGTAGGGTCATGTGGACTGTAGGACCCTTCACGGCTCTCGGCTAGCACCCTACCTGAAATGGCACGGTTGTGCCATCAGTGATGGGGCAGTGATTTGACTAGAAATGGTAATGGGACATTTTCATGATATCATCGGATTTTGATTGGTCATTCTACTAGATCATTGTAAAATTGGTTCTGTGCGTTTTTAAATCATGCATGAAACAATTTCTGAGTGTGATGTCGCATGTCTGATTCAATTCCTAATCCAAAACAATAGAGCTCTGCACAGTGAATCCGACAATGCAAGCCCTGCGGAGAGTAAACTGGCTTCAGTCACTTTTAAAAGACCAATACCACCTAGTCCCTAATAGTCAATGTTCCATGATTCCCAGAAACACGTTTTTGTATTCACTGCCACAAAAGGATTTTACTGTGTATCATGTTTATTATTTATGCTTACAGACACAGATGAGAGAACCACTACCATCAGACCTTGCAAAACCAGATGAAATCACAAGAGATCAAATATTCCAGACAACATATGGAAATGCACATGACAGAAAATACCCGGGAGGAGTGTTTGCCAACACTGTTCACAAGAAAGCTCCAGGACACTGGAAAGTGAATTATGTAAAGGACCTGGCAGAGAAGGTGAGAGCACCTAACAGTTCATACAATAAATTTGTAAAGGTACAGAAATGAGAGTTGCACAAGAATGCAATTTACAAGACATGGACACCTTCTGTTATTTTGGTAAGGGATATGCACAACCTCCCACCTGAACAATTGTTTCTAAGTTTTTCAAACATCATTTGTAACAGACCGCTAAAATAACAGTGGGTTTGGGGCTTTTGCCCTCCACACAACAGCTTAAACAAATGCTTTTAGAATTATATGTAATTATTACACACCCCAAGGTTTTGAGTTAATGAAAAATACTACCCCGTATGTGTTTGTTGAAATGTGGACCCTGACAGATGTCACTGATGAGGTTGCTACAAGCACTTTATGGAACTTCTATTTGTTAGTAATATTTTTATGTCTAATTTTCAATGTTTATGAATAACATTGATAGTCAATTTCAAGATTTAAACATGGCAGATAAGTGTACAGTAAAATGCATGTGTACCTGGAGTTAAGCTTTCTGGATGTTTTGAGCTAGTATGCAAGTATTAAGATGTCCCTGGATTGATATTATTTCCACAGCACTCCAATCTCATTATAATCAGATCTTAGTGCTTGCAACTGCTACATTTTGTGTAGTGATAGCGGACACTACGATCCGATTTTAATGAGATTAACAATACATGACATGATGTCAGTCAGTTACATGCTTACATGGCAACGAAACTAAATGTTTATTAATATTGTAAATATAAAAGTCAGTGGTACTCTCTTTCCACATGTACTACAACAAATAATTACATTCTTCCTAGTCCTGCATGTTACTTAGCAACGTTTCTCTGAATGTTCCAGCTGGGCAAGGGTGGGTGGCGGAGACCCCTGACGATGGGGAACCAGCAGAGTGAGATGCAGGACAAGTTCTGTGCTGCCCCTGGCATCAGGGAGAAATATCACTTTGAAGATTTTGCTGGACCTCAAAACTTTATTCTACAAGATCATCATAAGGAGGGGCCTTCAAAGGTAAGTCATACATCTGGTGATTGCAAGAAATAAATCCTGGGCTCTGTCCCACAAGCGATCTTTGCGCTACGACTGTGGTAAGACATAAGTTAAAGTATGGAGGTTACGATCATCTTAGCACAAAAGTAAGATGTGTTTCTATGTGGAACAGTCCCCTAGGCAATACGTTTTTGACAATGAATTACATCTTTTATTAATTAGAAATCCAGTGCTCAGATGAACTGTAAAGTGGAATGATATTTTGACCGTTAATTTGAATTTTCTTATATGAATATCACCAATGTAGCATTTGACAGAAATTCCCTCCATGCTGTATTTTTGTAAACTTTGTATTAAGATATGTAAGTTGCAAGATCATATTTTCCATTTTTTCTTTGGCTTTTGTGCTTTGTGAATATTCTGGTTAGTAATGTTTCATATACATACTTGATGCCTTGAAAGTTGTATTACTGATCCCAAACTGTCTTGCACAGGAGATAACACTTGGGTAAGATCAAGAAATGTCTCCTCGGAGGTATTACTACAATGAATTTGCATCACCATTGTGACATGACATCACAATCAAATGACATCACTAATTTCTCTACCAATGAAGCCAGTTAGCAGCATCTTTTTGCTCAAGACATGGCTAATTACTCTTCATCAGTGGTTTTTGATGATAAATAGAATATCACCCTTGTGTCTTTTGATATCAAATATATCATAACTCAATAATTTTAAATGTAAGGTTATTAACGATAGACAACTTTTCCACTGGTTGAGAGGTCGGTCACATGACCACGAAATTGACGTTCATAGGTGTATGAACGACACAATTTGATGTTCATACGTTTATCATGAGACTGTATTCTTGAAATGACAGACTACTTACACATTCCTGGGGGACCCCTGGGAATTCCCTGGCATGAATACATACAGAAGCGTTGTTTCTGATTATTTAAACACTTTAATCTTGAACTCATCATTTTAGCATACACTGACAAACATTAAAGAGTTTGGCTGCATGATCGTTCCTCGCTTCGACTGATCCGTGTCTAGAATGACAGTGACAGTCTACAGCAATCTATGAATTTACCGTAGTACATGTATCTATTTGACACATCTTTACAATCACCTTTCAATTTTGGGCCAATTGCTAAATGATGATTAACACTTGTAAACGCTGCAGGTTCATGACTAACATCTTGGGAAATATCTCCCGTCCCGTTTATCAGGTTGGCCATTTTGACATCTTGTACTTTAAGTATTATGATGTGCAATCATTCTGACTGACTTACTGAGGTAGTTCTTAACAGACCTTAAAGTTTTACTGAAAATAGTATGTTTGCTCTTAGAAATCATTCTGAGGCGAGGTAATGATTGGTTGTCCCATTTCTTCAGATTGAAAACTGCTACAAGAATCAGAATTTTTTTGTGTCTAAAATCAGTAGTGAAATTCTTTCATGCAGGGTATTTTTTCTTGATTTTGGAGGCCCTGCTATGTTTTGGTCTAAGAATGGTACGTTTTTCTTTCAGTATGGCCGTGCAACTACACAAAATCCCAAGCTCCAAGGCAAGCCATTCTATGTGCGAGACAAGGGAGTACTGTCCCTTCTTGACCCCTACCTGTCAACCACGCAGAAAGATCACCGTTCATTCAAACCCGATGAGCTCAAAAAATATCCCAAGAAAGACATAGCAACAACTTGGCAGTGTGAGGACATGCCCAAATCCTGGGGTCATGGCCTCAAACACAAGTGAGTCACGGTGATGGATGAACTTGTACAACTTAGTGAAAACCAGCTAAACTTGAGTTTTATTTTCACAAATCTGTTTTATGTCTGTTTATTTGGTTTGATAATATTTTGATGAAGTTGAGGTTATACATGTATTATCAAATGGCACAGGAGGACGAGTGATTTAAGGCATTGCTATTAGTTCGGAGTTATGTCCCTTGGAAGTCAGGATTTGCTGTTAGTTCGTTTGAATCTGAGATTCATCAGATTATGAACTTTGGTTTGTCAGCACCATACCTGTGATTTTCAGTAAATGCGTCTTTGACCTGCTAATGACATGGCCTTGTAATGCAAAAAGTAGCAGCTACAAGATATATGGTCTCTACCAGGGTCTCAGTACTATATAAAAGTTACAACATGACACTATCAGTGTCTTAATTCTATATAAAAGGATCCTTTTATATAGAACTATGACACTAGTAGTGACTATATTTCTTGTATCTGCTATCTTTGCCTTACAAGGCCCTGTGCTCCTAATATTGAGCTGTCTTTCCACATATGGGGGGCACAGGTGGCCCAGTTGTCTAAGGCGCTGCGATTCGCTGTGCAGAGGTGGGTCCCTTAGGCACGCCAGAAACTGATGATCGTGGGTTTGAATCCCAGTTGCCCTTATTATGTTTCTAGGTTTGTCACCACCATACCCGTGCTCGTGGATTTTTCTGAAGTGGTAAACGTCTGAGACCTGCATTGCTTAGGACTTTCCTCCCACATTAAGCTGACACGCCGTGATATAACTGGAATACTGTTAAAAACGGCATTAAACCCAACTCACTCACTCATTCCTTCCACATATACTGACATCCTACAACATAACTGAAATACTGTTGAAGCAGTGTTAAACTCACTCACTCATTTCAATTATCAAGTTATTTTTTTTTAAATTAGGAAAGAATTATTTAAACAATGATTTCTGAAAATAAATTAGTAAGTGCAGTACATTGTGACAACAAGAAATGAGTATGCTGCACAACTGTACAGTTTACAATGTTTATGCAGTTTTGTATCAAAGTAGCTGATTAAATATAGTTACTGGCTAATGCATAACAGTAGTGCAATAATCATGGACGCGACTTTAAACCCCATTTCGCCTCACCTCACCTTACCTTATCATTTACTGTATAACTATACTATACAGACACATATTTACTAAACTGTCTTTTCTTCTAGCCCATTCCCTAAAGATTCCGTGCCCCGAGAGCCCCTGCCTATGAGAGATACAATGGTATTCCCTACAGCTACAAAGATCCCCCGTCAGCCAAAAGCAATGGTGCCAGTACCTCACTCGTAAGTATATCACACCATGTATGATTTGATTTCACTGACAACCTGCATGTACTACTTGAGTGATCTATACGCCAGGGGAAGAAAGAGTATACAATATTGTAGTGACATTTACAGGAGAGGGTGAATGAGGACAGTTTTATTTGAACTTTTCACTATGGGGTCAATATTGCAAAATATCTTAAATTAAGTACCAACTTTTAACATACACTTTTATAAATATATTCCACCATCTTTGAAGCCTTTCTATAACTGAGAATATCGATTTGCATATTTCTGAAATATCGTTGTACTTCATGGTCAGTTTAATTCACATTGGTGAACAATTTTATAGGATTGAGACGTGTGAAGATCTGGGTTAGAATTGATCTTCAGCAACCCATGCTTATTTTACAAGGCGACTAATGGGATTGGGTGGTCAAGACACGTTTGATGCATGTCATCGTATCCCAATTACGTAGATACATGCTCATGATGTCAATCACTGGATTGTCTGGTCCAAGCTCGATTATTTACAGATTGCCGTCATATAGCTGGAATATTGCCTAGCGTGGTTTAAAAAACAAACAAACAAACAACGTTATATGAGTTGAATGATGCTGGAAGTTAACATTTACGCCAAGAATCAAAGCTTCAGCAAGGTGTTCCGAATGTGTTCAGCATGTCTTCATTCAAATAACAGTTCAAAGCATCTGGAAATAGTGAAGAATTTGCTTGAAATATCCAAAATAGTTTCCATCGGGGCCACGTCTACAAAGCGATCTTAGCTCTAAGTCAATATAAAAGTGTGGGTCGTACCATCATTTTAGCGCTAAGAACCGCTTTGTGGAACCAACCCCACGTGTATGATGCATGCGATACACATAGTGGCAGACATGTAATGTTTATCTTTCTTCATGCACCAGGGGCTTGAAGACTGAATACTCAGACTTGTACATACGTCCATCACACGTTCGGATGAGGGAGAACTTCTACTGTCCAGTGGACACGCCCTACACCCTCCCTACTGCCGGCACCAAGTCTGTCATGACTGCACCCAAGATGTACAACACTGAGTATCAGAATGTTGGTAGCAAGAAACCCATCATTGTGTAATATGTTTGGACACATGCAAGATGTTAAACGGCCGGTTTGGATGGTACTTCTGAGATAGGTTGGTATGGCAATTATGTGATAAAATTTGCTGGTTTAATTTCAGAGGAGTGAACCTTTTTAGGCTTTAACCCGTAAATCAACAGATTTGTTTTCTCTTTGTAAAGTGTCACAATGTAAACACTGCTGATCTTGCAGTAAATTTAGACCTATTGTCAACTATTTTATTTGGGTTTTAACACTTTTTAATTAATATTGTACATTGACACATTTTATAGAATATTGCATTTTACACTTTTATTCTGATTATACAATTACATATATCAATTTATAAAAATTGTAAATGGCATAATATATGCATGTGGCATCCAAAACACATTGGTGTGAAATAACAGTTATTGCTATTTTGTTTTCGAGTAAAATTGGGGAAATGATATTCAAACATAATGAACATCATTAGTACCTTCTTTACAAATGGTAATATCCGGCACTTTCACTGGCTTGGAAACATTGCATAAAAGAAAGATGGTGTACACAAATAAGGGGAAGTTATTAAAAATGGACTTAAACTATGTATCATTTAATTGATACTTCTCATCATGTAGGTATGTATGTACATATACTGAAGATGTTGCACATAGATATGTAAATACTTTTCCTGACATGAGAATATGTGTGTGTGATAAAGAAAGTCTCACGAGGCTGATTCTGTTGTAAATAAATCTATTTATGAATTTCAATATGAATTTGTTATTCATGGTGTGTGATGGGGGCAGTGGTTGCCCAGTGGTCTAAGACGAAGTGCCTCAGTTCTGAAGAGTTGTGTTCCTGAGGCGCCCGGATCAACTGGTCCATTCATCACCATTCGCATCTTCCTGTCTCCTGCAAGGTCTCTATTTGGCTTGGCCTGGATGGCACAAGTTTGTCACGAATGCCACTGGCTGTGGGTTAGAATCCAAGATGTGTCCTGACTATGAATATTGGTTTGTCAGCCATCCAAGGTTATGGGTACCCACTAAACATCAATTTCTTGTGTCTTTCTTACTGCATTTAGCTGACATGATGTGATATACCTGAAGCTGTTCAGAGCAACTCGCTCACCAATGCTATGTGAGAAGGTGGGATTAGAGGTGAGGGACAGCCAATCATTCTTTACATGACCAGTGAACATATTCTTGCAATGGAAGTACATGTCATGTTCCATTAGCAGTGTCATGATTCTAGCACTGGTTTAATCAAGATTTGATGTGTTTCAAAGTCCATCTAATTTAAAACTAAGTTCAACAAGTATTGGCACAAAGTGACGAAATGTCCCCCGCCTGTATATACACCATAGTTCCAAATATGAAGACAATCCAGCGATTAGTTCTTGAGATATCGCGGCAACACCGTTTTCCAACTCCAAAAGCAGATTTGCCTGCTGTGACCTTGAAAATGGGGTCAAGGTCACCAAAACCGACTGGTGTCTGCGGTGTCTGTATATACACCATAGTTCCAAATATGAAGACAATCCAGCGATTAGTTCTTGAGATATTGCGGCAACACCGTTTCCAACTCCAAAAGCAGATTTGCCTGCTGTGACCTTGAAAATAGGGTCAAGGTCACCAAAACCGATTTGTGTCTGCGGAGTCTGTATATACACCATAGTTCCAAATATGGAGACAATCCAGTGTTTAGTTCTTGTGATATCGCGGCAACACCGTTTTCCAACTCCAAAAGCAGATTTGCCTGCTGTGACCTTGAAAATGGGGTCAAGGTCACCAAAACCGACTGGTCTCTGCGGAGTCTGTATATACACCATAGTTCCAAATATGAAGACAATCCAGTGTTTAGTTCTTGAGATATCGCGGCAACCAACGTACGGACGGACGTAAGGACAGTCGTGAATACTATACTAAAAATGGACATGTTTTAACTGTTCTGATAAAAAGAACCTAGTCATAATTTTGAGACAGGTTACGATTTTGCCAGTCAAAATTAGAAGGGATTTGTTGCAGGGTGACACACTGTATGAGGGGTGCAGGTGTTTTGGAATCATACTTTCGTTTTATGGTTACAGTTTAAAAATTTACAACACAGTAACTAACCCATTTGGTGATATGACTTTCATGTGCAAAATGCTTCGCAGATTATTTGCATACATCCAATAGTTGCATATTTACATGTGATCCTAACATGCACCATACTTTCCAAACAGCTGCACCCATGCTTGTGTTTGTTTCTTTGGGGGTGGTCATTTTGCATAGAAAAACTTTCTAACCCAATAACCACTGATTATTTATTATTTTGGCTACACTTCAGATTAAATAGGTAACCTACCAGATAGAAACCTTGAATCTAGCTGTTTTCGATTTGTTTATTTTAGTCATCAATATTCAAGATATTGTAAATATTCAACAAACCAGTGATTGAAAGCATGAGCATCAATCCATACCATCGGGACATTATGAAGCACAAACAGCCAAGTCAGAACCTGACCACCCAACACTCATTTTACATGTGGGGGTTCCAGGTAAGAATATAGGCCTCCAATAACCTATGCTCGTCGTAAGAAATTACCAAATGTAACAGCTGGTCAGTCTCGGTGAATTAGTTGATTGCATGTCATCCATTGTCATATAGCTGGAATAATGCTGAGTGCAGCATCAAACAACATAGAACAACGCTTTAGATGGCTTTCACAAAAAGTATGAGGTATTGGGGCCCTACATATTCCTGACCACGTGGGTTAGATGGGGTGTAAACACAAAACTGCACATTAGATGGTTCACAAACTTTTATTGTACAATTTATGACTTTATAACATCATAAAAAGTGTTTTTTATGGCATCATTTATATATATATAAATGTCATAATATCCAGGTATGATATAACCTTGCTATCACAGCTTGTGACTGTTATTCATTCTTCTTGGCCAGGGGAAAGTTTTCAGTAAAATTACAGTATCTTTGCTGAAGGAGCCACTTCTCCACTGAACTTGCTGGACTGTCTGTGGTGAGATCATCCCGACCCTTATCTATTTCTTCCTGTAGACTGAAAAACGTAATTTTACCATAATTAACCATCATATTTCCTCCATGCCTGCCTCACAACTAATTACCTGCCCTGCAAAATCTTATTGCCCAAAACTTGACAACAGTACCTACAGATGAGTGAGTGAGTGGGTGAGTTGGGTGTTAACACTGCTTTGAACCCTGTTCCAGTTATAACTCCATGCGTCAGCTTAATGTGGGAGCAAAGCCCGAAGTGAAGTAGGTCTCAAATTTTTATGGCATTTCTGGCATGCCCAAGGAATGCAATTTGAATCGTGGTGCCTAAGACGACAGTTCCACTCATGCCCCCAACTACAGATGAACAAAAAGCTACATATTCCAAAATAAATTCACTAATTATGATGCCTTGTTTCTTTGCTTCATGAAAATTAGAATGAACATAGTCCTACCACACATTCATGAACTACAATGGTCGACAGTTAATGTAAACGGATGCCTTGAACAAATTGTTCTAAAACAGATAGAAAATAAACACAGCATAGAGCCCTACCATTTACTCATTCACTCTGTCAGAAAAGGACAATTATAACCTTGCAAGATTGCATTTACTTTTGATGAATTCAAATTGCAACCTTTTATTTAAATTTCAACAATTCTTATTATATTTGTTTATGTGGCTGTAGTCTGATGGCAGATGGCATACATATCACTACATCCACCGGCCTGGCCTTGCTAGAGTAATTCAATGGTGCCATATGTAAATCCAAATACACAATTCATTATACTAAAGTTAGTATATTAATAAACAAACCAGTTATGAACTGGTGTTTTGCCTTTGATGTTTTAAAACATTACTGAAGAAATAATGTCATTGTAACCATGGTTGCCAAAGAAAAGGCATTTTATCAACTGAAGGCTTTTTCAAGGCAGATTCAAGTTGAAGACCTTTCAAGGCACCATATCTAATTTTACACCTTTAAGCCTGTGCAAACCATGTAAATCACCATTCTTTGTTCTCATTGTGATATGACGCCATTGGGGTTTCGTTACACATACCCTACACAATGTCTAATGCATCTGACATTTGAACATCATTTACTGCTTTGGCAAAACATCTTACAACAAGAACAAGCACCATGGTAGGAATTGTCTTACATAACCTACTAACATCAACTGATACTTTTCATTGTGAAGTTAGTGAGGGCTATTTTATACCTTAGTTAGCAATATAACAGCTTTCCTATATTGAAAGCATGGGCAATAATAACAACCATTGGGCAATGATGACAAACACTCAGTCCTGTCACACATCTTGACCACTGAAATTTAGTTAGCTCTCAACATTGCGTGTTGAGGACCTATACTATAATTTTCCCTATTTTTCAAAGATAGTTACATATCCTACCCTACTACGTTACCTGTGTATATTCTGTAGCACCTGACTGGCTGTAAGTTCCCCACGGCGGACAGACAGGATGACTCTCCTCTCCTCACTCCCCTCTTCACGGAATACACGGATAGGTCCCTTCTTCACCACATCTCTGACAAGACAGATCATAAAATGGACTATTCTCCAAATTGTGAGTCCAAGCAATTCGAATTGAAGTCATTCTAAACCCATTTTGTGTGATTACAATCTCAATGAAATCCAATCATTTACTCCGACATCTCATGTGAACTCTAAACTCATCTCAGAAAGAACTTTGAACACCCAATTTATATGGGTTCCTGAGCCAAACAGATCTCAGGTTTCCAAAATGATTCAGCTTCATTTGTTTACCTTTGATGGTACTTCCTTCTGGGTGTCGATGCCATGGAGTTCAGAAATGACAGGGTGTATAAAAAATCCACAATTATATAATTGTTTTATCTATCTACGTATGAAATTTGTCATTTTTTTTGTTTTCGAGATACAGAAATCAGATATGCTTGTCTGAATGTGTCAGTCACTCCTAATAAATATAGAAACATCCATTTTGATTGCCTAGACTAGACTGGAAAGTTCACCTGATGCGACCTCTGACAGAGATGTCCTCAAATCTTCATCAGATTACCCATGAGGCATTTAGGTTTTAAGTGATAACCTTTCTCCGTTCCCACATGATGATGATGATGATGATGATGCTACTGCTACTACCATTAATCACCACCACCACCACTATCTATACCACAATCACCTTCATCATCAGAATCATACTCCTTAATATAATACCTTGCATTCTGGAGAAGTCGGATGATGATGTAACAGAGCTTGTTGATCTTAGCTGGAAGGTCACTGTGACCTGGGTTTTCATCACACCACTTTCTGTACTGTTTGACCCCATTTGACCCCTGAGCATCTCGTAAATACTTGTCCAGACATTGTCTACGTGTGGTAAAGAATATAGAATAAATAACTATAGGTTAATCAGAAAAAGGAAGCATTATTAAAAAAACCATTGTAGGAGAGGGATGGGATATATATTGACAGAAACTTATGCAAATACACAGTACTTATTTGTACTCAGTCACCTGGTTCATCATTCACAGTACTGCTACTAATGAATGTAAACAATAAATTTGTATGTCACACCACCATAGAGCAACTGCAAAACAGTACTGACAGATAACTGTTTTTTAAATTAGTATAAAGATTTTTATACATATCGACCCGTAAATATCAGGGTAGAATAGAAAGGCGACTGCTTGTCATAAGAGGCAACTAATGGGATCAAGTGGTCAGGCTTGCTTGATGCATGTCATCGTATCCTAATTGCGTAGATTGATGCTCATGATTGCAATCACTGGATTGTCTGGTCCAGATTCGATTATTTCCAGACCGCCGTCATATAGCTGGAATATTGCTGAGTGCAGCGTTAAACAACAAAAAACAAAACAATCTTTTATACATATCATTTACTATTTCTTAAGAACAGTGGACACAAAATCTTGGGTTATTTTCATTTCACATTATCGTAGCATAATACAGATGGATCTGTGACTGACCTTGTGTGCATGAGTGGCGCAAGCTGTGTGAGCTGCCTCCACTGTGGGGAGCTATGGATGACAGTAGACTGGTTCATGTACAGAGTCTCCACACACCGTGGGTCTCCCCCACAGAGCAGCTCACAGTAACGGTGCAGTTCAAGAATTGTGTAGTCACATCGCTCTCGGTCACTGTTCTGAAACATGTCAAGACATGTTTAAAACTCTGGTCTTTGAAAGGCATTAAGAAGTGATTCACATAAGGAAGAGAATATATGGATGTCAACTTCTTTATTATGAGGAACACAACGTTTCCGAATATATGCTCACTCCTTCATCAGGTGAATGAAGGAGTAAGCATATACTCCGAAATGTTGTGTTTCTCATAATAAAGAAGTTGACATCCATATATTCTCTTCCTTATGTTTTTAATCAGTAAGCTGGTCATTAAAAACATGCAGTTAGAATGATTTTTCCCTGGGTGATTTTGTCTGGTAAAATAATCCAGGTTTATTATTTATTTCTATGCATGAAGATTGTCTGGATTTTAATGGATGAGTTTTCTTTTCATCACGTAATTGTGCTGCCATGGTTTCTAACCAGAATTAAAGGTCCCAGAAACAATTTGCTAGACAACTCCCAAAAGTCAGTACTAAAATATGGAAAATGGTACTTACTCTACCAAATTCTAACATTGATCTCATAGTTGAAGAAAATGAGACTGAAGTGTTTTATTTTTCCAAGAAAGAATCAGAATAAGATAGCAACATTGCATAGCCCCCATCGCCCACCCAGAATGAAGGCATGACTCGGGACACTACCTTGATTGTCTGTTTTGGAGGATTGAAGCCCAGGAGACTTGCTGTGTCCGCCTGATACACAATAAACACATCGATGTCGCTCTCCGGCCCAGCCAGATTGTATCTGAAGGGAAGAATGGTCACCATGAGTGTACAACAAAGATGACCCTACACAAAAAACTGTTTTGTTAAAACATGGAATACACAAAACTGAAAAGCCTTCTAATCAAACTACACTCATGTGCGAAAGAAATTGTATGGGAAGTTTCTGAATCCGTTTGAAACTATGGTAACAGATGGGTCCAGGAAAAGGGTGTCATGAGGACCTCCTGCAACGATTCAGTGGTAGAGATACCAGAGTGATTGCGATAACTATCAGGATACATACAGCATTCTTGTGTGATCTACTCCTTGTTCCTTGTGGCTCAGCTGACAAGAGGTTGCTTCTATCAACCACTTTGTATTAATCTTGCATTAACATAGGTTCGTTCTTTTAATATTATGCAATCAGATTTAGCATTTTGTTTAGAAATAAGCAAATACTCAGTGTTAGCCTGTGTAGTTTGCAAATATTACATTTTGAAAACATACTTTCTTAAAAAATTATCCATGAAATAGGAGAAGTATGGTGTTTGTATTGACAGGTGTAACATCATGAAGCATTGATATATTGGTGAATTGTGAAGCTCCTTGTCCATGGTATCTATAAAAATAGAATGGTGATATGATGCAAAATCAAGGATTTGCTCAAATTGTAGATAATAACACTTATATAGAGAATCTCACCAAAGGGTCTTTTGATATCAAATATATCAACACGGGTTGATAACTGTTTAAAACTCTGAGGAAGGTTTTAAATTTTATCAACAATTGTTGATCTTATATCAAAGGACACAAGGGTGATATTTTATTTATCATCCAAAATCATTCTACCAACTTGTTCAGTTTGTAAACAGTTATAACCAATGTCTTGAGTCGTAAAAACTACGGCTAACCAGCTTCAGTGATGTCATTTGATTGTAGCGTCCTGATGATGTCACAATGGTCTGCAAACCATTGTTATACAATTTCACTGTAGGAGATATTGCCTGATCTCACCCAAGCGATATCTCCTGTGGAAGCCAGTTTTGGACAATAAATGGTGTAACCAATGTCATTTGTCACTTCACAAAAGCAAAATATAGGGGTCGTTGTCGACACAGGTATGACAGATATGTACCCTAAGTACATATTCAGAATACAGAAAAGTACCCCGTACCCTAAATAGTGGACGAGTCCACATTCCTCAACCTGAAACTGGTGCAAGTTGTAGTTTTGGTTTGTCTTATTACGAGTGTATGCTGGAGTGCTTTGCATTGCATTGCGGAATACTAAAGTACTGTACATTTGTCACTGTGTATGCTGTTTTTTTATATAGCACGCTGGAATGCATCTCACACCACAGGTTGACAGTTCCGATCCAGAAACTAAAAAATTCTTTCATGTTCAGTGTCAAAGAACTGGTTAAGCGTGCAGCGCAATGAGGAATGGACTCATCCTAGGGTACCTCGGGTACATATCTGTAGTACCTGTGCTGACAACAACCTCTTCAGCCAAAATAGATGCACACCTTTGACTTCCAAATGGACATGCTAAATGAACTCTGCCCAGCTCCCTCTCAACCTTCTCAACAACACTTGCCCAATAATCATTCACACTCCCACAGTCATCTGATTCCAGAAAGGGTGGTGGACGTTGAGCTGTCTTTTCATTCTCTTTTTGTTTACGTTTCAATGTCAATTCACTGTATAAACTCTCAACAAGATGGCACATTTTCTCACCAATACCAGGTGGCAGCTCTTGCCAGTTTCTTGACTTATTCACAGGTGTACCATCTGGAAGCAAGAACTCAGTCTCTGTAAATGGAACACACTGCTCACTGAATTCACGCAGAAATAAGTATTTCCATACAACTCGAAAATAATGCCATTGGATTGTCTCCCCTGATTCTCCATCTACTTGGCCTTTCTCTTCTTTGTCATCTGGCTCATAGTGCCCGGGCCTGTCAATCATCTCACAGTAACCATGCCAACCATGACAGTTGTTTACACTGAATATCAACACCACACGACCCTCTCTGAGGCCTTGAGACAGAATGGTTCTGGGCTGTTCTTGAGAGTTGGTTCTGTCTCTACAGGCCCAGATGCCAGAAACACAACACTTCTTCAGAGATGCGATGTTGGCACATTTAGCAATGAAGTACCTAGCTTCAGGTTTCTTGGTCTCTGCCATCAGAAATATGTCGTCCCCTAAAGAATTAAACAAACAAATGGTGTCAGGAAGCAGAAAACTGTTGTTAATTGGTTGGAAGAGGAAACATTGTGAAAAATTGAAAACAGTACTTTTTGGATAAGATTTCCTTTCCTCAAACCAGAGACCAAATTATATGGTCTCTGCTCAAACATGTAGTAGTGTTCTGAGTATTAGTATCATAACAGCATATACATATATTACTCAACACAAGTTAAGGACCACCAAATTCTTTGATGTTACTATAGTTAATCCGACAGATTAACTATAGTAATGTGAAAGAATTACGTGATGCCTATACTACACACAAACAATGTTTCTAAATTTCATCAACAATACTGTGGTAAAAGGCATATAACATATTCATGACAGAGGTAAATGTAACAATATGAATGTGACTCTTCAAACAGGATGAATAATGAATTTATACAAGAAAGAATGGCAATTTACTAACTATAGATAGTCAAAGTAGTTGATTATCTCGAACCTATTGGCAGTCCTTTACTTCATCCACAATACCTGATCTTATCATTAATGTATTCGCATTGGACCATGCACACTGTTAATGCAGTGACAATTTGATTAAGTGTTACACTCCTAGACAGGTCACAGAGTTTGGCTGTAGATACTACCCATATATCTTTAAATGGCATTTTAGATATGTATCGAGGACTTATGTGAACTTCATTCTTTTAATGTAACATTTCAGTGCAGGTACCCACGGGGAACTACGGCATTATACATACAAGTCAAACTTAACACTCTTATGAACATTATCACCCATGGAGAATGTATAAAATGTAGTTTCTTAAAAAAATGTTTGTACAAGTTAAGAATTTCCTCCCTCACTAACCAAAGCGCTCGTAAAAGTAATGGTGACAATCAAGACAAAAGTTGTATAGTACTTCACCAAATTAGATGACAGTCATGAGGCTTCAGCACAACTTCTCATATCTGCACACAAATTGTATATTGTATTTTTCGTGCACTTGGGATGAAAGTTGCTCACACCACTGCAACATTTTGCGACATTGTGCAATTGAAATCGCCCAAGCTCCTCACAGCGATATCCCGTTCGCGGAGCTCTCTAATACCGAGACAAGCTCCTCACAGCGATAGTCTGCTCGCGGAGCTCTCTAATAACGAGAGTGTAACGAAGGTGTCACGCGCTAGGAAGGAGCTTGGGAGCGTGTTTTTATAGGGAGGTAGCTTTGTCAAGCATCTGCAGAACGTAATAAACTTCCTAAGCAGCAGGACATTTCAGGTTCGAATCGCTAAAGTGAGCAATGTTGTTCTCGGCCACAATCGCTCTCTTATGCAATTGATTTCAAATAAACGAATAAATAAAAATCCATGCGAAGCTCATACCACAGCAAATATTTGGTTTGGTCTGTTTTGCTTCTCATTCTCTTATAACGTATTGCCAGGCAACTGCCAGGCTCATTTCTTCAGTTGCAAATAGTATAAACCTTTTAACAAAGCGGAAATAGAACGCAAGAAAATTTATATTCCGATGGGATTGTTTCAAATAGGAATTAAATAAAGAAAACACAAGAACAATTCCGATATACGTTTCGTAATCATAGAACAAAGTTTCATTTTTGGTTGTATTTTGCTTGTTTTCTTGTTTGCTTGTTCGCGGTAATTTGAGACATTTTTTACATGTTGTTTTAAAGAATCGAGACTGCCCCAATCTAGGAAGGTCAATGAGAGCAAATCTTCGGATAGTGTGTGAGGAATAATCTTCCCATCAAGAGTGCCCAGTTGCCTATATGAAAACTAGACTTGGGTATTGGAGAAAACACGCTTACGAGGTTTTGGTAGACAGAGCACGCCCTGGGGAGAGGGAAAAACCAAGGGGGCGAAGCGTCTAAATTGATGAAATGTTATAACGAGCATCTATAAATGAGGCCCTTAATTATAGCGCTTCCTTGAAGACATGATATCATAACGTGCACGTGAAATTCGCTGACTTGCCAGGCGTTCAAGAGCACTTGGATGTGTCAACAACAAAACACAACTAAAATACTTGCTTTTAAATGAAAGTGAAATTTTCGGTTTCTAAATGTTTGTGTTGCAATATTCCACTTCTTTTAAACTTTTCAAAACGAAATTTCGCAAATTTTAAAGGTGTTTTTTGCTTTACAAGATTATCGACTTTAAACAATCCAACTGTTACATAGAGGTAGTTGTGACGTAACGGCTAGCAGTTACTGCACGTGCAAATTGTGCAGCATTGATAAGCACTTGTTTAAAAGCACGTGTTTTGAAAGCTCGCTGTCCTTTCACCAGAGACTCTGAAGTGGAAAGATGAGCAACGACGACTTTCATTTTGTTACCCAGTCTTCATTCACTGAAGAAAGCAATGACTTTTCTTATCGATTTGGAAAGCCATTAACCGATGAAGAACTTGATAAACGTTTGGAAATATGTGTATCGAAATCAACAACCTATAAGAATGATAGGAACTGTACACATGACATTCAATTTTAATTGAATTAAAATTTTGAATTGCTACTTGTTGTCATTTTTTCAGTTACTTGGTTAAACCTGGGATTTGAGGTTTTACATTCAAAGTAAAACCTCCCGAACGAAAATAAAACCTCATAATGGGTTTTGCTTTGAAATGTAAAACCTCACAATAGGTTTTAATGCCTATAGAAAGAACTCTCTTACTTAATAGAGATCCCAATGAATAGGTTTATAATATAGGATAAAACACGTCTCCGAAGTTTTGGTTGAAAATGTAAAACGGCGAGCGAGGGAAAACCCTTATCCCACTTATGAAGCGTCTTAATGCAAGAACTACCATTAAAAAAGAAAACATCGAAATAGTGAAACAATACAGTGCATCGCGGTATAACAGGCATTCGCATCAAGAGGCATTGTAAAACCTAGGTATGACAATTGAAATGTATTCACCAGGTCCCAGGCCTTGTTGATATTGCCTGCCTGGGAAGTTTACCAACATTTCGAAGAACCTTCTGTTACCGTAGTGTGGCCAGATGTTTATAGGTTAGTGGACACCCTTTCCTATTCAAAGAACAATCATATTACCCGACCCACCTATTGCTCGGATAACCAACTCTTCTGAAGGATGAGTGGCTGGTGTGTCATCGCACCGAGACGACGTAGTTAAAGCTCACAAGCTCTGCGTGGTTTGCTTGATCCATGCACACATCAAACCTTACCCATGCCCATAGGTTTGCAACAACGTCGCGCACTTGTAGACGCCCAGCACACCTTTGAACAAAGCGACAACTATCATAGGCCGATGTTAATGAATGGGAGTTTAAAAGATCGTCTTACTAGAACATATCATAGAGTTAAGTAAATTTAGTTTGCTATAAGAACGGGCTAAAGATCGCCAACAACTGAAGTTAGATCCCCATACTAGGGACCACGGGGACTTACAGTACTTTTGCTACCTGCATGGACCCCAGCAGGATAACATCACCCCTTTGGGTGTTTGCAATTATTGACACATTTAGCCTAGCATTTAAACAACACATATGCTACTATTAAAACGTAGTAGGAATAAATCTACTTTGAATGACGTGGTCTTACATACCCTCTCCAGGAGACAATTATTTTACACTAGTTCAACCCCCTTCGAGGGTACTGCCACTAACAATCTTTGTTATCACATTTACGCTGCCAATTATATGAAAAAACCCGTCCTCGGCCCAATTCCACAAAGCTATCTTAGCACTACGATGATAGTAAATTCCATACTTTAACAAAGACTTACGATCATCGTAGCACTTAAATCGCTTTGTGGAACAGGGCCCTGTATTTTAAACACAACAATTTCTTTTAAGAAACAATCACTAAATGAGAACTGATATCGGAAAGATTCTTTATGGGTGAAACTTTCAAATAGTCTTCCCTTGTGATGGAAAAATCAATACAGTCAAGCAGGACATGCTTGACGGTGAGTCTTTCATCACAAGGGATACAGAACGGAGGATCCACACCTTTCAACAAATACTTGTGTGTATATCCTGAATGGTCAATACGACATCGTCGCATAATGACCTCTTCAAATCTAAACCTAAAGTTTAATTTTATGTGATTTATTAAAACCTATTTGGGTGGCCCCCTTCTTCAGTATTATATCTCTGATGTAACATCTGCTGACAGGTCTGATATCGCTGTAGGGGATGAGAATTGGTGTCACAGATTCGTGGGGTTTTAGCATCAGCATCAGCAACTGAGATATAAATTGAGACAAATGGCCTCGCAATCCAAAGTCATGTACATGATTAAAAATACCGTCATTCCATGTAGTGTCACTTGCTTTCCTAGATTGAGAAAGATAGACACATGCATGCTGTTTGTTTATAATGGCACCCATAACGAATGATTACACACACACACACACACACGCACGCACGCACGCACACACACACATGCACACACACACACACACACACACACACACACACACATTCTTTTCAAATATACTTTCATATGATTTATATAGAAAAAAATGACTTTTGTTCTTTTTCATATAACTGCATATGTCACACTCATTTATTTAATAATTATAATTGTTGTCCAGATATCAATATTGTTTTATGGTTACAGTTACTTTTTTAACGTGGATTTTGGCCAAAGTTGTAAACGTCAAAGTCCTACGACACTTTGGGCTCTTTCCACATTGAGTCGCCACACCATGATAGAAATGAAACACACCTCCATACAGGCATCAGGACATGCAGGGTTTCAAAGGCAAAGGTGAGGTGAGGTGTGGTGAAATTGTGTTTAACGTCGCGTCCAAGATTTTTGCACTTATATAGCGACTTGTGTGTGTGTGTGTGTGTGTGTGTGTGTGTGTGTGTGTGTGGCTGCTTGTACTAGTCCGGACTGACGCCGATTTATAGTGCTAGCTCACTGAGATACCATGCCGCAGTTTAACATGAATACCCCACTCAGATACAGTATACTGACTCCGAGCCGACCAGTCCTTGGCCCCTTAATGCCGAACGCCTGACAGGGTAACAACAAGTACCATCTTTTAACGTCTTTTGGTATGACGCGGCCGGGGATCGGGCGGACGCTCTACCAAAAGACCACGGAGGCGGTCTTAAGGCAAATACCCTTTCATTGTATGGTTATTTCGGTGGTTTTACAATATGTTTATTTCGCATCGCATTTTGTGTATTTTGTCAGTTCACGTAAGCCGGTGTTCGAGTATTGTGTTTTACTATTCAGTAAAGAACATATGTAGATTTCTTTGTTTGTTGTTTTAACACCGCACTCACGAATATCCCAGCTATATGACGGCGGCCTGTAAATAATGGAATCTGGACAAATCAGTGATTGATATTCTGATCAACTATCCACACCGTCGGGGTACGATGCCACGCCATCAACCATGAATCCGACCACCTGGGAGTCTGTAGAAGAGGGTCGTCATCCGATCCACGAAGTCGCCTCTAACGATCAGCATAGATTGCTAAGACTTTATATATTAAAAAGGAATGCCTACGGGGTAAACATATTTAGAAATCTCAGCAATGTAATTTTTTCTATTGTATTTTCGTCGACCGAGCCAGACATAAATAGGAAAGTCTTCATGTGGTTACTGATATCGATTACATTTGACAAATAAACAAACCGCTGACCTTCAGAAACTAAATCCGGCAATTAACCTCTCTCTCTCTCAACTGCCATATTGAAATGGAAAACCATCCTCACTCCGCTATATGAATTGGTGATGACGTCAGTCAACTGAAATGGGTATGTGCGTTTACTAAATCTCAGAAAACAAACTGCCTTACTACCTCCAATAAACGCCGTGTAAGCGCATGTGAAGACCCTCCGTGGTCGCAATAGGCACCCGAACTAAATTTATAATTAGGCCCGGGTCAGTTATATATGTTAACTGAGAAGGAGTGAGTTCAGGATAACGCCGCTTTGAACAATAATTCTTTCACGGCTGTCAGCTTGATGTGGGATGAAACCTCGAAGTGATGCAATGGTTAGACGTTTACATTCTGCTAAAAATACCCAGATCTTTTGCCCCGATAAGCTACCCCCATGTATTGAGATCCGAGAACACCTCC